TTCGGTACCAGTTTAGGGTGGAATAAAGGGAGTTTCCAGGATCAGTTTGTCTTTGACCTGGCTTTGGTTTTTTTTGTTTGTTTGTTTGTTTGTTTGTTTTTTAGTAGTAGTAGTAAAGGGAAAAGAGTAGGTTGACCTCTTACACGGATTCTGAAAATAATGAGTGATCTAGTTTCCATAACGCCAGCAGGTGGCGCATTTTTTGGCTGTTTTCCCCCCAAGCTAAGAAAAATTTGAGAACCAGTATGAATATATGAAAAGAAGAAATGCTGCCTTTTCATCCTTCGTATTCTGTTTCTCTCAGGGTAAATACTTCACAAGAATCAAAGTAGAATAATCTTTGTTTTGCTGTTTCTTTTCCACTTTAGCGAAGACTTGGATTTTGTGTTAAATTGTCAAATAATTCCTCGTTTCACTTTTTCTTTCTTTCTTTTTTTTTTAAAGATTTTATTTATTTATTTGAGAGAGAATGAGAGAGAGAGCATGAGGGGGGTGAGGGTCAGAGGGAGGAGCAGACTCCCCGCTGAGCAGGGAGCCCGATGCGGGACTCGATCCCGGGACTCCAGGATCATGACCTGAGCGGAAGGCAGTCGCCCAACCAACTGAGCCACCCAGGCGCCCCCTCGTTTCACTTTTTCTGTAATAAAACATAGCTGATTAAAATCTCAAGTGGCTGCCAATCTTTACACTGTGGGATGCCTCAGGACGTGGTCAAGACCCTAAACTTCAGTGAGCCAGAAAGCCAAAGTGCATTTCACAGGGTGCTCTGACCCATCATGCTTTATGGCTTGCGTCCTGGGACTTTATGTTGCTTTCAGTGCCTCTGAAAGTTTCCCAAGTGGGACTGAAGGTTTCAGCGTAGCCTGGGACAATCTCTCCACCCACCCTGGTCCAGCTCCCTGAAGAATGTCCAGGGCTGAGGAAGTCGTGGTGCTCTGTTTCTCTCAGGGAAAGCCCTAAGTGGATGCTTTCTGATGTAGAAGCCCCGCAGCAGGACACAAATCAACCTTCCGTTCATATAATAGACACAAGCGTGTCCTTAGCATCTTTGGATCGATCCGGAGGCCTCTGAGAAGAAGCGAAGTGAAAATCCCCATTCTCTACCCCTTTGACTTTGGGCTAAGTTTGCTGTAAATCAATCTGAAAAATAGCTGCAAGTATTTTGTTGTTTGCTCCAAGGCAGAGGAAAGGGACATAGGTCATTTCATTTCTAAGGGAATACCCAATTGTCAGTGCCCATTACACGTACGTTCATAATAGAAACTTATGAAATCAACTTTATTGTGAGAAATACCTCAGAGAGGAGCTCTTGGTGCTAATTTAATCAAATGCTATTATTTTTCACTGAATCAACCTTTTTATTACTACCTCTAGAAAAATGCTTCCTGTAATGTATCAGACTCTTTGAAGTAGAACTTAACTTCATAAAATGATTCAATAATAATAACTCCCATAGGCTTTTTCTTTTTTTTTTTTTAAAGTTATTTATTTATTTATCGAGAGGGAGAGAGAATGATAGAGAGAGAGCATGAGAGGGAGGAGGGTCAGAGGGAGAAGCAGACACCCTGCTGAGCAGGGAGCTTGATGTGGGACTCAATCCTGGGACTCCAGGATCATGACCTTAGCCGAAGGCAGTCGCTTAACCAACTGAGCCACCAAGGCGCCCCTCCCATAGGCTTTTTCAATCAAACATTAAAGAATGTCCTTTTTGGAGCACGTGGGTGGCTCAGTCAGTTGAGCATCTGACTCCTGATTTTGGCTCAGGTCATGATCTCAGGGTCGGTGAAATCGAGCCCTGTGTTGGGCTCACGCTCAGCAGGGAGTCTGCTTGTCCTTCTCCCTCTGCTCCTACCCCCACTCGTGCTCATGCTCTCTCTCTCTCTCAAATAAATAAAATCTTTTTTTACTGTCTTTTTTCTTTTATACCTGTCTTGTTTACAATAATACTCATCACAAAACTTCAGGAAATCCAGAATACAACAAAGAAGAAAATAAGGATTACCTATAATTCCACTGGACTTTTAAATATATATGCATCACACATATTTTTTTCTTAAGTAGTCTCCACGCCCAGCATGGAGCCCAACATGAAGCTTCGACTCATGACCCTGAAATTAAGACCTAAGCTGAGAACAAGAGTCAAATGCTTAGCCAACTGAGCCATCCAGGTGCTCCATGCATCATATGTTTTTAAATGGAACTCAATTTGCTGAGTTGTGTTTTTTTTTAACAACAACCCCCCCCCGCCGCCTCCCTTCTTATTTTTCTTTGTTTGCTGAGTTTTTTTTTTAACAATGTCTTTCATTTAATGATGGATTGTGGACATCATTGCATATTCATAAATGTAGATATACCATATTATATTCTTTTTTAAAAAGCATGGAGGAGAAAGCAGTATTTATAGTACTAAGCATAAATGTCTTTAGGGATTTTTTTAAAAAGATTTTATTTATTTATTTGTCAGAGAGAAAGAGAGAGCACAAGCAGGCGAAGCAGCAGGCAGAGGGAGAAGCAGGGAGCCCGATGCAGAACTTGATCCCAGACCCTGGGATCATGACCTGAGCCAAAGGCAGATGCTTAACCAACTGAGCCACCCAGACGTCCCTTTAGTGACTTTTTTTAAATTGAGGAATAAAATACATAAAGTGCATAAAGTTTCATGTATATCCCAATAAATTTTTACACACGTAAATGTGTTTGTTTTCTTGGGCTGCCATAACAAAATACCATAGACTGAGTGCCTTAAACAACATAAATTTATTTCTCACACTTTGGGAGGCTGGGAAGTTCCAGATCAAGGTGCTGGCAAGGTAGGTTTCATCCTGAGGCATCTTTGTCTTGGAAAAAAGAGAGAAGAGAGAACTTGCACTCACAAGCTCTCTGATGTCTCTTCTTAGCAGAGCACAAATATTACTAGATCAGGCCTTCACCTTTATGACTCGCTTAACCTTAAAGGCCCTGTCTCCAGTGTCACACTCACTGGAGGGTCACACTGGGGGTTACCTTCAACATGTTAAATTGGGGGGGGAGGCACACAATTCAGTCCATAGCAGTAAAGTTATTTTTTAAGAAGAATAAAGCTTTCTGTACTATATTACTTAAGTTATATATCTGCATACACAAATCAAATGAAAAAATGATTTTATTGGATAATTTAGGAGAATGATTTTTGTGGATCCTTTGGAATTTGTTCCCTACTGGAACATAAACTCCATGTGGGCAAAGATTTGTGCCTTTTCTCTTCATTGCTAAATTCTCATGTCCATAACACAGTGAGTAGTGTATAACTGGTGCCCATTATTTATTGAATGAACAATGGAATGTTTTCTTTTTTCTTTCTTTTTTTGGAGGAGGGAGGCAGTATCAGAGCTTAGGAGTCACAGAACACTAAGACAGACTACCTTGATTGAATCTCAGTTCTATTACTTACCAGTTCTTTTACCTTGGACAAGTTACTTAAGCTCTCTGTGCCTTAGTTTTCTCTTCTGGAAAATGGGTATTTCAGGGTTGTTGTGGTAAGAATTAATTAATAGGTGTTTTTTTTTTTTAAGATTTTATTTATTCATTCATGAGAAACAGAGAGAGAGAGAGAGGCAGAGGGAGAAGCAGGCTCCCAAGGAGCAGGGAGCCCGATGTGGGATTCGATCCCAGGACCCCGGGATCATGACCTGAGCCAAAGGCAGACGCTTAACCATCTGAGCCACCCAGGCGCCCAGAATTAATTAGTAGGTTTAAACCATTTAGTATAGGATTTAATATATACTAGGTAGAAGTAAATACCTTGAAGTAGGTAATGTTAGATATTTGCATTTAGGGTTAATTGTCCTTTTTATATGCAGTCACAACCTAAGAAAATATCCTGTGAAGTCAGTTATATGGGATGATGGTTGCCTTGGCTTTTGATAAAGAAATATTGAGACATAGCGGTTATGTGACTTGTGATATTTAAAGTAAGGCAGTATATTTGCATTTTCCTGGAATTGTTTATTAGCTGGATTTTTAGAATTATTTAATCACTAGTTTACAAGCTCTGAACCTAGTTTGAGCCCCTAAATTCTATATATGCATGCAACATCTATGAAGTCATTAATTTGTGGATATATATAGTCTCCTATCTTTTGGACCCTGTTATGATTTTTAAAAATACAAATTTATATCCTCCTTTAGTTATTAGGCATTTTCGCAAGCAGTGGAAGCTGAAAGTACAACTATTAACATGCAGATCCCATAGGGGGGAAAATGGGAAAAAGAAATAAAAACAAAAACAAAAAAACATGCAGAATCCCTAAATCTGGGGATGATGAAAAGGGAGTCCTCAAAAAAAAAATAAATAAATAAAATAAAAATTAAAGAACAACTGCTTAAAAAACAAACAAAAAAACCCCACTTCTTTAGTGGCTCCATTATATAATTTCCATATATGAGGAAATTCTTGTAATTTCATATTAATATATTGTAAATCTTGATCTCCTAATCAGAATTGTAGAGAATCTCTTTCCTGTGTTTGCCTGTAACTATGAAACCAGAGGTCCACTTTTGGCCCAGGGCTTGGAGGCCAGCCTGGGCGTAAACTACAACTCCCAGGATTCCTGGGTGGGAGCTCCCGGAAGTTGTGGTTTATTCTGCATTCCGCTACCGCCCACCGTACCTATCCTGTCGCAACCCGTGCCCTGGGCTCGGGCTCCGGATGGGTACCGCCCATGGTCATCTCCTGGAATTTTCTTTATTGCTTTGTCATTTTTTTTTTTTTTTCTTTCTCGAGTTGTCATTTTTCTGTTGTGTTTCCCCTGTTAGCTGTTACGCACACCCAAGGACGACTGCTGAGGAGAACCTGAGAGCAAGTGTTAACCCGGAAGGTGTGAACCCGGAAGTGAAGGTGATACAGTGTCTGTCGGGCTGAAATGTAGCAGGTCACAGAAGGTTCCGGCTTCAGAAAGGAAAGCTGTCGTCCTTTGTTCTTTTTCTTAGGTACTCACAATTATTTTTTTTCCTCTTTTTTTTGATCTTAGAAAAAGTATTTTTCCACCCCCATTTTTTTTTTCCATGTTGCCTCGGTAGGATCACTCCGTATACTGAGTTACAAAGTGTGGCTTAGACGTGTTGCTGTAGCGCAGGCTTAGTGTCACTTCTGACCTGCCGACTCTGAGAATCGTTCCTAGAGTATCAGAGTAACGCTGCTACTGCGGTGGGTGATGGGGAAGACGGGCCGTGCTCGGGCACCGGTAACCCTAGCGAGTGGTTTGTTGTGGTGTTTTTGTTTTTTTCTCTTAACATTGAGGTTCAAGATCTTAAGAGTTACTCATTCTACTACTGTTTCTAGGATGGAAATTTTAGCTAGAAGTGTTCTAACAAAAATGTGTCATCCTTTTGTCTGTTTTTTCAAATGGACACACTTCTCTGATGTGCTTGAGACTAGATGTAAAGACACACGGGAACTTCTGCTGAAGGACTGTAACGCGTGTGGCTGCTGGGCATTGGTGCGTTTTTCCACAGTCTTTTTCCAAATGGGCTTCAGATGTTAAAGTTCATTGGCAGAATCCTGCAAAATCTGAATGTTTTGGAGACCATTCTGAATATGTTATTTTCTAGGAGATAATGATATTCAAGTTAGCTGACTTACAATGATCAAATGAGTTAATAAATGAATGCACCGCCTAGTGTAGTAGGAACACGGGAAACAGTAAAAGTTGATTCTCATAAAATTTTGACCCTTATTTCAACTTTGAACCTCAGAATTTTAGGAGCAGAGTGTTTTTCCTAAAATACTTTATCTTTTCCCTTTCTTAATAAAACTATTCTGTGCTTTTGTTAGCTTTTGATTATGTCTATTAGACGGGTGAAGAACAGGAAATTCATGTACACAGCCAGTTTCACCTAACTTGTAATTTTTTAAAGTAACTATTTTTTCCTGATTGTGACAGTAATATGTGCTGTGGGTATAAAAATATTAAAAACACCGAAAGGTAGAAAAAACAGAAAGCAAGCAAAAGGTATCCACAATCCCACAACTAGAAATCATCTTATTAACGTTTTGGTATGTTTGTTTTTTAGGTTGTTTTTTTTCCCCAAAAAATATTGTTTACCTTTTTTACTTATATATCATATATCATAGAAAATCTTGAAAACCTAATTGAGATTATATTGTTTTGCATTCTGCTTTTTTCACTTAATGCGAATAATGCCACCCTTCCTTTTTACCTGGCCTACTTTCTTAGTCTGTTAATATCTGAAGTTTTCCTCCTTCAGGATCTTAGCTGAAAGATAAGCACCTGACTGTAGAATTGAGAATGGAAAGCGCTGAGCTCCGAACAGGCAAACTGCATTCTAGTATGAGCTCTGCCTCTGTCTGGCCGAGTAAATAATCATAATTAAGTTACTTGACTTCCTTGGACATCTGGATACCTAAAATTAAAGAATTAGACAAGAAAACAGTATTTCCTTCAAACTTTAGAAATCTCTGTGTATGTGAACCACCTAAAACTTGCATGATTATTTCATACCTTTCAAGTGCTTGTTGACGTACTCAATTCTAGATCCTGGATACTTTCTAGGAAGTAGCTGATTGAACCCAGTCTATTGATGTATGTATTAATTATGCTTCTACTCATTTGCCATCGTTAATTATATACATTGAGTAAATAGAAAACCGTGCTATCTTTGCTTATTTTAATATGTTAGATTCAGAGGTATGAAGAATTATTTTCCTTTTATGAATTACTGAATTTTCAGACTGTGTTTGGAGCTGCCTGTGCCCATGAACGGAACAAGATTTCTTGAGGCTCCTTCCAGCTTTTGTATTTGTAGAGTTGATTTTTTTTTTCAGATTGTGTTTATTATATTTCAGATGCAGAGATGAATCGTCACCTGTGTGCTTGGCTTTTTAGACGTTCATCTCTTAATGGTCCCCGCCAGTACCACCTCCAGCCCCAATCTCATCAATTTACACAGATCCATCTTGATACAAGGCTGTGGATTTTTAGACAAAACAGGAATCGCATTCTCCATCATCTGCTAAATAAGAATTGTCCCAGGAGATATTGTCATCAGTCCAAGATGCTGTGGAAGCATAAAGCACTACAGAAATATATGGAGGACCTGAATAAGGAGTACCGGACGCTTGATGAGTGTTTGCAGCATATGTCTGTGAATGAAGGGGACCGGAAGTCCTTGAATCGAAGGCATGCTGAGTTGGCACCACTTGCAGCCATTTACCAAGAAATTCAGGAGGCTGAGCAAGCAATTGAAGAATTAGATTCAATGTGTAAAAGTAGGTAAAAGATATGTGTGTGTAAAGAATGTAATTGATTTTATAGGTTAAAGCTTTCTTGAATGCAGTTTTTTAAAAAGCTTAGAATGAATACACTGTATACTCGGAGAAGACAGGATTCTACCCTGGGTGTTTGATGTATTTTGGCTACTAAAAATCAACTACTAAGAGAACAAACTCCTTGTGGTGCTTGCCAAGAAGTTTTTAGGGTCTAGGAGACTGAATATTGACCTTTACCAAAGCTTTAATTTACTGAGCAGGCCTTTACTGAGCACTTTCCTACGTACATAGCAGAGACACAAAAATACAGTTCCTACCCCATCAAAGGGTATTATTTCATCCAGGTATTATTTCATCATCCCAGAAAGAACCCTGCACCTTGTAGCCACTTGCCCCAATTCCCCCTTCCCTACCAACCCGAGGCAACTGCTAATCTACTTTCTAGATTTACTTATTTCAGGCATTGTATATAAGTGGAGTTATATAATTTGTCCTTTGTGACTGGCTTCTTTCATTTAGCATAATATTTTCAAGTTTCATCATTGTTGTAGCATGTATTTGTATTTCATGTCTTTTTATTGTGGGACTATATTCCATTGTATGGATCTACCACATTTTATTTTTATTTATCCATTTATCACTTAATGGATATTGTATTGTTTCCACTTTTTGGTTATTATGAACAATGGTGCTACAATTGCCTATCATAACTCTACATTTGACCTTTTGAGGAGTTGCCAGACTGTTTTCCAAAGTGACTGCACCATTTTTACTCTGCCCTTTTGATTCTAGCTATCCTAGTGGGTGTAAAATGGTATCTGAGTATGGCTTTGATTTGCATTTCCCTGATTAATGATGTTGAGCATCTTTTCATGTGCCTGTTGGCCATTTGTATCTCATCTTTGGATAAATGACTGTTCAGATCCTTTGCTCATTTTTAAAATGAGTTATTTGTCCTATTAATGAGTTGTGAGAGTTCTTTATATTATAGCCACAAATTCCTTATCAGATATATGATATGCAAAACTTTTCTCCTATGGGTTATCTTTTGAAGCACCATAATTTTTTAGTTTTGATGATGTCAAATTTCCCTTTTTTTCTACTGTTGTTTGTGTTTTGGTGTTACATCTAAGAAACTGTTGTGTAACCCACGGTTACAAAGGGTACATCTGTGTTTTCTTCTGAGGTTAAATTTTTTTTTTTAAAGATTTTATTTATTTGTTTGACAGAGAGAGTGAGAGAGAGACAGAGAGAGAGACAGAGAGAGAGACCACGAGCAGGGGGAGGGGCAGCGGGAGAAGCAGGCTCCCGCTGAGCAAGGAGCCCAATATAGGATTCAATCCCAGGACCCCAGGATCATGACCTGAGCCGAAGGCAGACACTGAACCGACTGAGCCACCCAGGTGTCCCGAGAGTTAAATTTTTTAACCTTACATTTAATTCTTTGATCTGTGTGAGAGGTGTTTATTTTTAGTTTTGATATTTCTTAGTATTGCTATTGCCTTAACATTTTTTCTCATATGACAATTTTCCAAAATGTACAGAAGTTGAGAGAAAAACACAATGGACTAACCTGGGATTCAACATTTATCCCGATAGTGCTATAGGCTTTTAGTTTCTAAACTTTCTTCTGTGCTCCATCCTGTTCCATTAAGTGTTAGAGATGTTAAGCAGTGTCAAGGCCAGTCACAGTTATACCTGTAAAGTCCTGGATTTCCTACCTTCTATTGGAGGTACCATGAGTTTCTCACTATGCTTAATGAGGATTTTTTTTTTTTTTACTCTGCATTATGCCACTCAAATTTGTAATTAATTAGTTTGGGGAAGGTTCTTTGCATATAATAGGATGCTTATAAATTAAATTGACATAATCTCTTTCAGCCTTGGTTGTATCACCAGTATAACTGAGATTGGATTGGATTGTTTCTGAGTCTCTTCTAGGTCTAAAAGTCTGCTCTTCTGTAATAACAGTGATAAAAGCAACATTTACAGCCCTACCATGTGCTAGGCACTAAGCTAAGTATTTTACAAATATTATCTCATTTGAATATTCACAATAATCTTACGAGGTAGGAATTATTATTAATGTCCCCATTTTATTGATGAAGAAACTGAGAGCTTAAAATGCCGAAGGTCCCTCAGCCAGTCAGGCAAGGAGCAAGGATTTGAACCCAATCAGTGAGATTCCACAGCCTCTATTCTTAGCCACTGCACAATGAGTCCAGTTCCAACAGAATCTGCCTCTGTAGTGTACCTTTCATGAGTCCCCTTCTTATATCTTTATTATATCTCATCCTGGATAGTTAAAATACATTCCTAACTTGTCATGCCACTTCCAGGCTTTCCCAGTCCACGTACAACTGTAATCAGATTACTCCCCTGCTCAAAATTTTCAGTAGCTCCCATTGCCTATAAATATAGATTTCTCGATTTGTTATTTAAGAGCGTCTGCAGAAGGGCCCCTGGGTGGCTTAATCAGTTAAGCATCTGCCTTCAGATCAGGTCATGATCCCGGGGTCCTGTGATTGAGTCTGCTTCTCTATCTCCCTCTCCCTGCCCCCCACTTGTGCGCTCTCTCTCTCTCTCATAAATAAATAAAATCTTAAAAAAAAAAAGAGCTTCTGCAAAGTGACACCAGCCTTTCTGTATAGTGTATTAATTCCCTTTGCATATGCTACCTTCCAAGAAAAATAGAGAACTTGCTGTTCCCTGAATATACATACCCATGTCATCCCATATCTGTCTTTGCACACATTGTTACCCACCAATTTTACCTTGTTAAAATTCATTTCACTTATGAAGTGTGGCTTGGATTTCATACTTTGGCTTCAATCCCCTCTGCAAAACAAAAATGTTACCTTTCTCTGTTTTGAATTTTGGTCCTTTATATAATTGTCTTAATTTCTGTCCCTTCCTTCATTGTGTTCCTCAAAGACTGAGCCTATGTCTTACTCATTTTTAGATTTCCTGCAGCACCAAACATAGGATATAATAGACTCTCAAACCTTTCTTGATATAATGAAATTGAATTAGGTTAGATTTCACACATCAGTAAATAATAAGAGGGCACAAAAATAATTTTATGTGACTGCACATCAGGTTTTTCTGATGTCTTTGACCCAGCAGGTACCTATATGAAGTAATGTCAGCCTAGTTTCCATTTGTGGTATAAGTGCATAATGTGGGGCCACTAGTGATATTAAAATTCTGCAACAGATGATCCATAATTAGAATTTAGTTCAGATGGCATCTATCCAGGAAGCCTTCCTCAAGTGCTAAGGTCTGGGTTAGACCCACTCCTTTATGCCTTCATGGCACTGTCCTGTCACATACTGTGATCGTGTGTACATGTCGATCTTTCCTACCAGACTGAGCCCTTAAGGCCTGGAACCATGTTTTATTCATCCCTGTGTCCCCAACAACTGGCAGAGTATCTGGTGCATAGTAAGTGTTAGATGTTGAAAGTATGAATGAGGCATAGAATCCCACCAGACCTTAATGACTTCCATGACCAGGAAAGAAATTTCAAAGAGCCTTCTCTGTTTTATAATTATGATTTTTCATTTCTGTTTTCTTCTTCACTATTAAGAATCAAACATTTCTATATCACCTTGCAAGCATCACCACTAACAAATGGAGTCTAGGTATCTAGAGCAATGGAGTCAAAGGTTATGAGATCTACTATCTCTCATTGTTAGCTTTTTTGTTGGGAGTTCTAGGATTTAACTTCCTGCTTTTGAAATGATGTGAAAAGGACCAATGTTTCCATAAAGCAGAGGTTACAAAGATGTTTTGTTTGACTTACAGGGTGTTTTTAAAAACTGTTTACTAGGTATAAATATTTCAAGAGATTTCAAAATTCTAAGAGTTCTTATTTCTGACTTTGGAGGAAAAAAAAAAAAAATGGAGACTCCAGCCCTCCTGGATTACCCACAGTGTGCTGAGTAATGGCTGCTACCTTTAAGACAAGAAGTGGTCACTCCATTTACTCCAAAACTTACCTTATTTGAGTTTATATTTAATTAACCAGTCCTTTTTCAAGCTTGTTTTATTAATCATTGATTCCTGTAATTAGTTCTAGACATTCAAATCATAAACTCTTTGGGGCAGTGATCATACTTCTTTACACAATGAATTTTTTTAGATATGCTTCACAAGTACTTCTTAATATTCTTTATTCTAACTCTTCTTTTGTATAATCCCTCCTTCACAACTGAAATAAAATTTATAGACAGAATTAGGTAGCTATTTAAGAGTTTCCCTGTATTTAAAAACATTTATAATTTTTGTTGATGGTTTGTAGGTCTAAATAAACAAGATGAAAAGCAGTTACAAGAACTCGCATTGGAAGAGAGGCAAACCATTGCTCAAAAAATCCATATATTATACAGTGAGGTATGTTTTAGGAGGTAAACTACTCAATTGTGTTAATATAAAAGAATACTGTTTTACTGAGCTATGCTTTGGTGTTCAAAGTACTTTCTAAACACGAGTTTATTTAATCTTCTTTTATGATAAATGATTAAGCTGGGTTTAGTACTGTAATTTGCTACAGAATGAGATTGAAGCCATTGGGATGCTGAAGAATAAAACATCACTTTCCCCCTCACCTCCATGAGTAACTATATTCCAAAGCTGTTAACTTGCCAGGTGAGGAGACAGATGCTGGTAAAGAAATTTAGTTCACCAAGAGGAAGAATCAGGGGTTCTTAAGCCTTAGAAAAGGGGAGTGGTTCATAGTGATTGTGTTAATTAAGGATTGAAAATTTGCTTTCTGGATAGAGTGGAATGAATCCAAACGTATAGACACTGTTGGTTCACGCAAGTCTTTAGCTCCTTGTAATTCGATGGGTGATTTGTCTAAAAGACCAACGAAAACCACAGTGCCGTATAGCATCTATATCTTCTACCCTTCTGTCCTATTTGCCATTGTCCTGCCTTCAGTCCCCCTACTCCATAGAGGGGCTTGTTGAGGAGAAGGAGGTGGAGGTCTCAGTTACTGTTATCACTGATCTAACTAGCAAGTCAAAGGCAGAAGGATGGTGTCACTCTTGGTCTGATGTTCCCTCCCACAGACTACCATTTCTAACAGAGATGGAGTACTTAAAAAATTGGCAGTAGGGAGAGTCATGACATGTAGGTAGTTTGATTTGAAAAACTTTTTAGTAATAAACAAAAAATAAAATTGCATCCCTTTTCTTCTTTAGAGGGAAGCTAGTTACTTTTTTAGGAAGCCCCTTGTTTTCTTGTCACAGCTCAGAAACTATTTAAGCCTTATCCTGGGAGTCCTCAATATATTCTTTAAGCAGAACAGCGTTACTGAGAACACAGGGCACGACCTGGGGCCCACTGTCATCTGTGGCAGGAGAGAATACACAATCATATGTAAAGAGTCCTCATTTTCTCCAAGTGAACACTTTTCAAAGCTTTACTTCATTCATTAGATGAAAGAAGCTACTGTTCAGAACTAATAAGAGGCAAAATCTGAAAAAAATTGAATGGAACACTCCAGACTTTGATCTAAACTTGGGCATTTTAGAAAATTAAGATAATCTGATAGCATTGTGGAGAATACCCTGACAAGTAACTCCATTGTTTGCATGAATTGATCACTTATTTTAGGTCTAATGCAGTCTACTTATTACAGCATTTAATGACTAGACCTCATTGGGATGCTATATGATTTTGTTAATTACTGATTTTTTTTTTTTTAATGTTTGGAGGTCTTTTGTCTAAAATCAAGCAGTAGTATATCATGGAAAATATACACACAAATGCTGATTTTTTTTTTTCCATTTTCAGCTTTTCCAGAGTCTAGTGCCAAAGGAGAAATATGACAAAAATGATGTTATTTTAGAGGTGACATCTGGAAGAACTACTGGAGGTCAGTTAAATAATTTTATTATAAATGATCTAAAAAAACACTTAAATTTTACCTTGGTTTGACACACTATAACTTTAAAAGTCCACTAAATGTGTTTCACTATGGAAACAGTTACTCCCTATCCCCCAAAGGACCTGTACCTAAGAATGGCTCTCTTAAAAAATCTGTGCTGACTGAATATTTTTTGTATTTTTTTAGGTGATATCTGCCAGCAGTTTACTCGGGAAATATTTGATATGTACCAGAATTATTCAAGCTATAAAAACTGGAAATTTGAACTCCTGAATTACACACCAGCTGATTATGGTAGGCATATTTGAGGATTTTGTCCATAGATGATGCTGAAAATTATTTTACCTCTGATCTTGGTTAGAACTGTGTTGTCCCATTTTTAAATTTTTTTTAAGATTTTATTTATTTATTTGAGAGAAAGAATAAGATAGAGCATGAGAGGGGGGAGGGTTAGAGGGAGAAGCAGACTCCCTCCTGAGCAGGGAGCCCGATGTGGGACTCGATCCCGGGACTCCAGGATCATGACCCGAGCCGAAGGCAGTCGCTTAACCAACTGAGCCACCCAGGCGCC